GGAGATTAAGAGAGTTAGGAACGTCGATGCTCTGACGCATTCGCTTGCGTAAATAATACGTGATTGTTTCGTCCTACTATTATTGTCCATTATTCTTTTAATCGAGAAAATCGAAGATCAATAATTGTATTTTAAATACGATATCCGTATCTTCTACAATTTTGATGTTATTAATTATATTTATGTATCTAATATAAATGTTTTTTATTTTTTCAAATATAATTTATAATAATTCGATCTGTGCGACAAGATGCGATAAGGTATGACAAGGTTCAATACGTGATTAAGAGATCTCAACCGGAGCGAATCGAGTATCTCTAAGTAAGGGTCGACTCGCGATTAGAAGAAATGTCGCGTAGGCGGGATTACCGAGTTCCTTCCAGGATGTCCGTGGGATATCGTGCTGTTGATAGCCACAGGCATACCAATATAGCCATTTCGAAGCGAAACGTATTCGAAACTGTTCCAGTTGAAAACGTTTTTTTCCAAAGTTTTTTTTCCAACTATGGAATATAGGTCGTAGCAGATTTGACAAGTTGTCGACGCGGCTATACCTCCTATGTATGAAATTTCAAAGTTTTATGGCATTATAGGAGATTAAGAAGATATAGGAATTGAGAAATGGTGGTCGATCGAGAATGACTCCGCGGAGAAAGGGCTTTTGCTTTCTTTGTAAAGAAAAGTAAAGGTATAATACACGAGACTACTCCTCGAGTCGTCGACCGAGCGATATCTCTAAATCTGGGCCAAGCGCGTCTTTTTTTCTTCATCGTTGAATCGATCCTGCTACGCGTTGCTTGAACGTATGCACCTACCTCTTCGTGCGTGCGAATGTAATCGTTATGCATCCGATAGTAGAGTGGTGGTAGAAGAGGAAAATCGAAGAAGAGATTATCGTCGTTTTCGTCTAAATTGCCACATCAATGGTACCAAGAAAAAAGACGCGCGAATGTTCCAGATTCCTTGAAATTCTCTCCAGAGTACAACGAATAATCTTTCAACGAAAGTATTCGTCCAATCTAGTCGATAATATTCTATTTTAGCTTTTGAAACAATTTCGTTTTACTTAATACATTTCTGATAGCATATTTTAGTCGTAACGTATATGTTGGTGTAACGAGCAATAACAAAATTATTTTTTATTTTTATTCTTCCGTTTAGTCAGTTTCAGGAGACAATCGTTATAGCACCATGATGAGTAAATGATATCGTGATAATGTTTCGACATTGAAATTCAATGAAATACTTTTGTTAGATTTACATATTAGCATATTAAATTATAATTCGGCAAAGATACATTTAAGGGGTTAATTTTTGGCATCGCTGGCACAAATACGATAAGCATTGATCTTCTTTCTTAAGGAAGAAGAGAGAGAGAGAGAGAGCTGTCTTGCTGCTCGTGATGGTGTTTCGCAAATCGCAGAAAGGTGTCCATACTTTGCCCGGTTACCGGCTATGGAATGGATGCGCACGCGCGTGCGTGTATGCGTGAGTAAGTACGTGCGTGCGTGCGTGTACCGTGTCGAAGCAAAGAGAAGGGTTACGACTTCCCGTCTTCTTTCTCTCTTTTTCTCTCTCTCTCTCTCTCTCTCTTATGCACACATACACGCATGCACACACATACAAACACATGATCACTCACCAACTCTCTCGTTCGAACACATTGCGCTAGAATCGTGCGCTTCACGGCCGAGCACGTGTCGATTCCGAAGGCGACAGCTTCGTAACGAAATGAAACGAAACTTCACTCGCGTTTGTCTTCTTCATTTTCTTTTCTTCTTAATATATTGACGTGTGTTTTGGAAATAAAAGAAAATATACCTTTATATTTTTCTTCTTTAATTTTATTTTTACGTATTCTATATAAGATAATATTTGTTTTTTAATAATTTTATGATTCAATTAATAATGTCTAATTTTCATCGATATCGACAACTTTTCATTTCGATGGAAGCTTTTTCTTTGTACAAGTAATTGTATCCTAATCGGATAAAACTTTTCTATAGATCTAATCGATCTTCATAGATTCGTCGTTCGGTCCATTGTCGGCTTGTGTCATCTAGATCAGTTCCACAATTCACATTTGTTAAGTACTTTCGAAGGAAGGGACTCAGTCATCTTTAAAAAGAGACGTTGCAATTTTGCAACGGTATTTGCAATGTAACGATGAAAACTAAAGAAAGAAAAGTATGAATGGCAAAGATAGTAAAAAAAAGCTTAAGAGAGAGTGAGAAAGAGGGAGATAGATGGATAGATTAATAGCAACAAGACAGAGAGTAGACGGTCAGATGGATGGACGGACGAATGGATGGACGGACGGACAGAACTCGTGACGTGACCTTGAGTGACGTCACTGAGATCAATAGGAAGCGTCCTTTTTCGCGGCGTTACAACCCGAGAGAGCTACCTGAGCATGGATCTGCGTGACGTCATGTGCGCAGTAACGCGTTGCGCACGATCTTTCAGCGAGGCACCGACAGGCGGCTAGTAGGAAAGGGAGCGGAAAAGGAGGATGAGGAGGCGAAGAGCGAAAGAGATACGACGACGGCGGCGGCAGCAGCAGGAGCAGCAGCAGCAGCAGCAGCAGCAACAGCAGCAGCAGAAGCAGCAGCAGCAGCAGCAGAAGTACCACCGCCAGCCATCAGCAGCAACATCAGCATCAGCATCAGCGATCGAGTCTCCTGAGAGGAGAGATTGAAAGAATTCGCAGCCTCGTATTTCGATTCTCTTCTTGATTCTTTAGGTCTAGAGCGGACTTTGACCTCGATAAGAAGAAGGTATACCTATGTGTACCAATAGCGACGAACAAGATCTCTTTTTTATCTATTTTTAGCTGCTTTTTCGTTTGGACTTTTTTTTCTTTTTCATAAATTATACATTATGAAGAATTTGAGGGAGGAACGAGGGAGAGTTTAAGAATTTATCACGTTAAAATGGAACTAGAGATATTGCGATACTCGTACATATGTATGTATATGCACGCGCACGCGCATATGCGTGTGCCATCGTGAAACGACTAGCGGCAACATCGCACACCGTTTGTCGGACTCGGTGGAGTCACCGACTTTTCGAGGCCACCACCACCTCCACCTCCACCTCCACCACCACCACCACCACCACCACCACCACCATCATCACGACCACTACCATCATCATCATCACCACTACCACCACCACCAGCATCGTCTTCTTTACTGTCGCCATTTTTACCATCGTCACCGTCATCATCAGCATCATCGTCACTGTCACCGTCATCGTTACCGTCGTCGTCGCCGTCGTTGTCTCTTATTCGTCTGCATCTTCGTTTTGATAGCCATAGCCATAATTATAGTTATAGTCGTCGTCGTCATAGCCGCATGTCCGTTCGTTTAAATCTATCGAGATTACGAGCGCGATCTATCGGAGCCGCGAAATACGAGCTCAAGGACGCTCGACACTTCTCCCCTTTCCTTCTCTGACCATGAATGTCGGTCGGTTTTGCAGAGATCTTCTTTCTTATTTTTTTTTCTTTTTCTTTCGCGTACGTCAGGGGTGGGCAACTTCTCTGCCGCGAGCTGCACGATCCTCGCCGTCGATCAATCCGTTTCCCCACTGTTCACTAGCCACCAATCCATGCATCTTGTTAAAGACAAAAGCCGTGCGGCTCGCGAGGCTATAGAGGAGCCCGCTTCAATGGGGGGAGGGGGGAGGGGGATCGTCTCCTCCCATCTTACCGGAACAGGCAAATAGGAGAAAGAGCCACATGCGGCTCGCGTGCCGCCAGTTCCCCACCCCCTACCGTACGTTCTGCAACGGTAAGTTCTCTGACGTATTTACGACGATGTCCGAGGTAGTTTCTTTCTTTCTTTCGACGGATCCTCGATGAAATCTTTTTATCTTTTACTTTTCTTCCTCGAGATAAGCTCTTCGGAGGTCTTAGAGGATCTTCTTACCGGCATCGGGGACGATGCACCGAACGAAAATGACTCATCTCGAACAGGATCGTTTTTACCTCTCTTTCGATCTTATTCCGTTGTCAATGCTTACAAACTTTAGGAGAATCTCTTGCCCATTGTTCGAAACGTCTCATGAATTTCATTCGCTACGTTTTAACTTGACCTACCTTACTCGCGCTTTCTTTACGAAATAATTAAGTGACCCCTTGTGAATAATACAGTTTTCGTTTTGTACTAACCTATTGGAACTTATTACTTTTTACATGAAAACTTTGATTATAATCGTTTAATATATAAAATGTATAACATATGTAATACCCATCGATCAAAAATTTGTAAATTTGTTAAGAATCGAAATGTAAACGGTCGGCGGCCCTAACGTAGGTATATCGTGCGAATTTATCTTCTTCGGTGAGTATAATTTGTTGTTTTTAATTTATAAAATCTCGCTCGATGAATCATTCGATCGAGCCGTCCAATCGGTTTTAAACTTTTACAAACGCTTAGCGAAAGTGTAAACGACGAAGCAATATCGTTGCAACCAAACTGCGCCTCGTGGATGCATCCATTGTATATAGAGTATTCCAGAACACGTGACTATTTTGGTTTTAAAATGGCGGCTGGAGGTCACCCAACCTGATTATTTTCTCGTTCGTCCGCCTTGCCTGCCCGTTTAGGTACTATCACGACCGTCGAATCGAATGAATCGCGAAAACGAGCGACTTTTCCATTTTGAGTTTTCGTTAAGCGCCGATTCTTCTTTTTATTTATTTATTTTTTTTTTTTTCTTTTTATTTATTTGCATCATTGCAGTGAACTTACTCGACGTCATCATTATGATTCTAGAATTTTAATAATTTTTCTGCTCTTTTTCTTTTTGTTTTCTAATCAAACAATTTTATAAAAGAAAAAGACAAATTTTTATGAAACAATGAATAATCGTACGATTTAAACGATTTTGATTTAAACGCAAACTTTGAACGAGCTAATATCGCGGAAAGGAGGAAAAGAAGAATCAGCGTTTCGTATTATCATTGCGCGTGAAATTGCAATGACGTGGTAAGGGAAAAACGAATAGAATGTATGTATATTCGGCGAAAGAGAATGCAAAATTCTTTGTACGTCTTTTAAGGTGTTTGTTTTTCTTTTTCCTTCTTTTTCTTTCTTTTCTTTTCTCTCCTGTTTTTTCTTTTCTTTTCTCTCCTGTTTTTTCTTTTCTTTTTTTGAAATCTAGAATAACCGGTGAAAGCTTTGCTCGACTGGTGATTTACGTTTAAAAATTTTTAGCATCGTCGGCATCGTACCTTTTTCGACTTGGAGAGAAAAATGAAATTGCATTTGTAAAAGTCGAAGCTTGTATTGCATTGGAGCGATATGCGTCATTCGTATAAAATTTGTTCTCATCGATATACGGATCTCGTTGGATATTACTCTTACGTGAAAACTCATGTAATGTCCTTAAGAAAAGGATTTATACCGTGATTTATGCATTTATTTTCTTTTTCTTTTCTTTTTGGTAAATAATTTTTAATTAAAAAAAAAAAAAAAAAAAAAAAAAAAAAAAAAAAAAAAAAACGCGTTTCTCTTTTTACCGGATATTTCATCATTTTTGTTTTTTTCTCTCCCTTTTTGTTGGATAAGATAAAAAAGCTTCCTGCAAAATAATCAGATTTTTGATGGTTACCATCCAGTTTTAGTACGCCAACCTACCACGTGTCGACTATATGCATTTATGCTTACTAAAATACGTCAACGCTTATTTTCTGACAGCAATGCTTTGCCTTACAGATTCGGCACATCAGGCAACAAGAGGGTTCCAACAGTCATGCCGTGCAACAAGGGGAAGTATCTTCATCGAATCCTAACATACTGTCCAACGATCAAGTTGGTCCTATATTGTTGGAGGTAAGAATTGATAAATCTTAACGATGAGCGTCTAAATTTTGACTACTGCATTATGCTTGATGGTTAATTGAACGCAATCGTGCGTCGACGTTGTCTTCTTCTCGAGACTAATATTTAAGAGAAGAAGAAGAAGAAGAAGACAACAATCACCGCGTGTCGGTTAACAATCCGGAACGCGGCTTAGATCCGATCTCGATCAATTATTTGCAGGAAGTTGTTAAAAGGAGAACAGCTTGGCCACGTAAGGAAATAGTACAAGCTATACTTGTATACGTTATGCTGATATCAAAAAGAATATTGTTCGTAAGACTATTAACAGCTTCCTACGAAAGGTACCTACTTGCTTTCCTTTTCGCTCGACGACTTTTTTTTTTTTATTCCTTCATATTTAACGATACCCCCCGTGTAACTGTGTATCTATATTTGTGTTTCTTCTTTCTTTATTTTTACAGGCGTTAGACGGCTTCCTGTTCGTCTTAAATAGCGAGGGACGAGTGGAATACGTAACGGATAACATTACTCAGTATATTAATTATACGAAGGACGATGTATTGGGAAAGGCTATATATAATATTATACATCATGGAGATCACAACGTCTTCATGCCTACGTTGTTGCCCTTGTCATTAGGTCGGTATATCGATAGCGAAAGATGCAATTTCTGAAATATTTCATTAAAAAAAAAAAAAAAAAAAAAAAAAAAAAAAAAAAAAAAAAAAAAAAAAAAAAAAAAAAAAATGTTATACAATGGGGAGAACGAGAGTTCGAGATAAGGCGTGATGATCATCATCATCGAAATATCATTGATTCTATTTCTTGTACGATTATCAGGCTGGACCAGCGAGCTGCAGCCTCAAACGAGGAATCGTACTTTCCATTGCCGCTTTCTGGTAAAGCCTCCCGATGACCAAGACGAGACGATGGAGGAGAAGCAACAACGGGTATCGAAATACGAGTCCATGCAAATCAATTCGGCACTTCTGCCGAGTAATACCGAACGACTTGAGAGCGGTGATGTGTCCTCCGAATCGCCAGACATTGGTCCTTGCGTAATGTGCGTGGCACGTAAAATATTACCAAACGAGAAGCCCGTAGGTACACCGATCGAGCAATTCACTGTTAAATTGGATACAACGGGCAAGATCATCGGGATCGACGTTAGTTGGTTGTCGTCCGCTTATGCCAATTATATGATCAAGGCAAAGGTATGTAAGATTTTTCTTTCCTACGCGACGATCACGTCGAAAAACTTTGCCGTTTGTCATATCCCAAGTGTTATCGTTTATACGATTACATATACGTCAACGCACTCGTAAAATTCGAGAGAATTTCTTTGATCCGTTTATCCCTTAATGTTAACGCACCGTTCCTCCTCCGTGTTTCTTACAATCGGTCTTCTCATCGTTTTACAGGAATTGATCGGTTTGATGATAAAGGATTTGTGCCACCCTCATGATCTCAATAATTTAACTGCACATTTGAACGATACGCTTCAAGTCGGAGAGAGTACGAGCGCCGTGTATCGACTGCGCATTAGTCCTGATAAGTTCCTTAATATACAAACAAAGTCAAAACTTTTCAAAGCGAATGTGATGAACGGCCACGACACGGACTTCATGATGGCCACCAATTCCATCATAGGGTAAGTAAATCTTCCTTTTGTTTTTAATCGACGCACAACATTCGTAGAAATCCGAAATAAACTCTCCTCCTCCGAAATACCCCGCCCCCCTCCTCCCCGCCACCGCTACTTTCGGAGTAGTTTTTATTTCGGTTAATAAATAATGAAAGAACGATTGCGACGATTCGGACCGAAGCGAAAACCATACATGGCGGTAGGTGTTTGACAATAAACCTTCTCCCCCGTTTTTTATTTTTTCCTTTTTTTTTTTTTTTATTTCGTTTCTCTCCCGCAGTCTGTCATCTTTCTATCTTGGTTTCAATGTAACTTAAGTTGGGTATCTTATTTTAAATCCTATTCTCTAATTTATTCTCATTCGCGCGGATAAATTATTGCTTATCACGCATTTAACTATTTTACCGTTGATTTTATGCCACGGTTTTATGAAAGCTTTTAGGAATGCGAAATTTCGTACTCGCATTATGTTATTGTTTCTTATAGATTATACCGGGAATGCATGAAGGCGTACTTTGAAATATTTTTCGGTGTTGGAGATCTGGCCACTCTTGAAATTAAAATAACACTCTGTTTCTAATATCACATTGCCTTTCCTATATCGAACGTAATATGCGTTTCTCCGCATCAATGGTTGAACTAATTGTAACAAGTGTAGCACGATTCAACGCTCGCTTATTTCATTATATCAATTTCATTTAATAAGTTTCACTATCGTTGCTTTAAGCATCCAGCCTGTCCAATGATAATTTTGAAAGATCAGAAACGCTGCTATGATATCTGATCGATATGTAATATCCTATTCTCGTTCGACTGGAATTCGTTTAAAGAATATGATGTGTTGTAACTCAGAGACACACGGACACACATAAACGCTCTATATCCATACGCATTTTCACGATGTACATATTATGTGTGCGCGTGTTGAACATTAACTAATGAAAAAAGAAAAAGGCTTTGATCTAGGTTGGAATTTTACTTCAATGAACAGTGCAAAGTATCGTTGGTCTTGTTCCCTTTTTCAATCTGTCTTGGTTGTTCCAGGAAACAAGAGCAGATGGATTAAAGTTTGGCTTCGATAAAATAGTAAATTTTCTTTTTTTTTTGTTTTGTTTTTTATTAGAGAGATTCGAAGACGCACACGGACACACACTGTTCACTGAAGGACGATCAAATTTGTATAACACGCATATATAGTCGTATACGTATCATTGCATATAGAAACAAAAATTGTACAAGATCTAGCGTTAAGAGATATGGTGCTAACTATGGCGATACATGTGTTTTGGTTTTTGTCCATGATAGGGACAATGACTTAACGCCTATCGAGGGTGGTCAGCTTTCCAACAACAAAGTGTGCTCGGGACATTCTAGTAACCGTTGTGCGAATAATAGTAATAATAATAATGGTAACAATAACGATAACGTGGGTGGTCTGTTGATGTCCGTGGCACATCTGAACGGTCAAGTGAGTGGTATCAGTGGTGGTCGTGGATTGACGGGGACGACGCACGTTGCCACGTCGTCGAACTCGATCGCCTTTAGTACCGGCGATTCTTGCAACTCATTAGCGTCACTAAGTACGAGTAATTCGTTCAACCACTTTTCGGGGAGCATGGACTTGGAATTCGAGCTCTTCCGCGGTTCGACATGGGACTTGGACGGTAGCGGTGGTTGGCCGGAAAGGCCCGAGTCGAGAGGAAGCGGGCCAACAGATTCGCGACCACCCTCTCAGCCAGCCCCGACATCGCCGAGTCCCCAGGGAGGAGGAACGTTTTCCTCTAATTCAGCGGTGCCGTCTCACTGCAGTCCCCTACGCGCTTTCAGTCCGTCGTCTTCGATCAACGCGGCGCACACCTTCAGTAATTCCTTCCCGTTCAGTCCACTACAGGAGCCGCAGTCGTCATCGACGTTGACCGGCAACAACGCGGCTGCGGCCGCGGCCGCAGCCGCCGCCGCGGCTGCGGCTGCTGCCTCGGTTGCGAACAACACTGGCGTCAACAACAACGTCAATGGCAACGGCGCCACTTCCGTAGCTATTGCTGCTGCTGCAACGGCACCGGTCATTCTACCTGGACTCAATGCCAAGAGGATCGAGGAAGGAAAAAGTGGATGCCCTACCAGCGGTACAATGGACAATGCGACTGCGAGGACGAATGCCTCCACACCCGCCGAAACTCAAAATAGTGTCGTGTCCACCGAGTCTGGTAGACTTAGAAACTTGTTAACAAAAGGATCCAGTGCTAGTGAGGACAGTCAAGACAATACGAATAATGATTCGGATAACCAAAATAAACACAGGATATTGAAAATTTTGTTGAATCAGCAAGATGAGGATGATTATCATTCTGAACATAATAACAAAATGAGAACGAGTCCTAGCAACATGCCAAAATCGAATATGGAGCATTCCAAATCTTCTCTTGGAAATAATATGCTTCTACAGGTGATTTCTTCTCTTTTACCTTAATCTTCTATCTTTATTCATACCTTGTACATTTTTTTTTTATATTTTTTCTTATCTCATATTGGATTTTATTTTTATATATGCATATAAGGCGCCTTCTTCTTCTTTAGATTATATATTAAAGATGTTTATATTTCAAGTTATTAAACGAGAAAAATGACGATGAGGACGAGGAGGCCCGAGCTGGATTGAAAAAGAGGAACGAACTTCTTCAACAGTTATTGAAGGATCAAGACGAAGAGAGGAAATTACAAGAACAACAGGTACACATATATCATCGTCTTCTTACAACAGGAGGTTTGAAATTGGCTCGACCCTTTTGCTAAAGTTTCTTTTCTTTCTTTTTTTCTGCTTTCTGCCTTTCTGTCTTTTTTCTTCTTTCTTTCTTTTTTTTTTTTTTTTCTTTATATGTATTAGACCCGGGACGACGATCCTCTTTTACGGAGTCTTGGATTTCGGAACAGTACCCCTTCACCGTCGCAATCGGGAAGCGATCACAGCGGGCTTGGTAGTACCGCTCAAGTGGGTCAGAAAAGACCGGGCGATGATGGTGATCTCAATATAGCCGTTAAACGGCCAATGGATGGCTCGCACCAGGTGTCTTCTACGGGTACCAATGCTTCGACGAATGCAACAAGCAAACTATGGGAGAAAAACAAAATGTTGGCTTCGTTGTTGGCAAAACAACCCCCTCAACCAACGACCATACCACCTATTCCTGCGTCTGTGATATCGGCAACGCCGCAAGTAAATATTTGGGATATCTTAGTTTTACATATTATTAGACCGGAAATGGCTACACAAGTACGTAACCGGATACATACGAGTACATTTTACTTTTAGGATAAACTTCCACGTGGCGGTGGTGGTAGTGATCGCTTAAAGCAACACCAGTCACAACAGCAACAGCAGCAGCAGCAACAACAACAACAGCAGCAGCAACAGCAACAGCAGCAGCAGCAGCAACAACAACAGCAGCAGCAGCAGCAACAACAACAACAACAACAGCAGCAGCAGCAGCAGCAACAGCAACAACAACCGTGGACAGGTGGCCATATGCAAACAGTCGGTGGGAATAATGCGATCACAACTACGGCTACTTCGGCTCGTACTCCTCTCCAAAACCAATCGAGACAACTACCTCGTCAAGCAACCAACACCTACCTCAGTCACATGCTAAGTCAGGTAATTTTTTAAACGATCCATCAAGTTCTATCGAAACACTTAAACATGTTACTTATTTAAATATATTCAATTAACAGCAACAAAGGCCACAATTGGGTCAAGTGGATTCGGAATTTGGAGATAGCGGAGAATACCGTCAAACGTGTACCGATCCAAGTACTTGGGATAATCAATCGTCCGATCCAGATCTCTCTGATATTTTGGATCAAGTTATTGAATTTGTTCCGGACGAAGCTATCACAGGTAATTATTACAAGACAATTTTATTTAACGCGACAGAGTTTATTTAATGTCAAATCAGATTTTAAGATACTTGATACGTACACTTTCGCTGTCGCGGCAATAACGTTGTTAACACTTTATATATGACATATCTTTCTATACATATATATTGCGTTCATCTATACAAAAAGGAAAAAAAAACATATTCCTCGAAAATATCGAGCGTGACAGCGAAAGTATTGCGATTATAGATATTGTAATTTTGATTCAATAGATTCGTCTGCGATAGCAAACCTCCTGGACGTTATTGAGGCACCGCAAAACAATGCCATGAATGAAAAAATGGCAATAAACGCTATCCAGAAGTCGTTGATGTTATGCGAAACTGCCGTAAATCCAACGTCTTCCACCATAACTATACCTGGCACGCCTCCTGCATATTCCACTGCGGTAAGTCTACATAATAGTTTTGTAATACTGACTTTTTACATTATTTAATTCGTCCAATTTTAATCCTTACAAATCCTAGTTGGTAACGACACCCGTGACGACGAGTCATAGTTACCAACCACCTCCGATGTATCAACAACAAGCAAGGATGAGGTTTAATGCTCAGTTGGTCGTAAGGCAGACTACTGCGCAGTTTACACAACAACAGCAGCTGCAGTTGCAACAGCAGCGTAGTAAACTGATACAACAGCAACAACAACAACAACTGAAGCAAAGATTACTGCAGCAACAACAGCAGCAACAATTGCTCATCCCATCGAACGCAACAGCGACGGACCAAATAACAACTGGCATACACAATATTGATAATCTATTAAATAATACCGTTGCGCCAAACGTATCTTTACAGGTATAATCTTCATTTCCTTTCACGATCGAACAGAAAAATTGATTTTGACGATTAATGAGTCATTGTTTCATCTTCGAAGCGATCGAGTGTTCCTGACTCCCAAGTTTCTCCGGGTTATGGGGGATCCGTCCAGATCACTTCCGGACACCGACTCGCTCATTCGTACTCTCATCCATCGACGTTACCACAACAGTAAGTATTTTCTTTCTTTTAACTAAATCGATCTTATTTTTATTTCGATCGGTTATACTTGACGAATCTTTCTCTTTGTATAGTCCCATTGTGAATAATAATTTTAACAGCGGTCAACAAGTGTCAGCGGCAGCAGCAAGACTCTCGCCGCATTCTCCTGCGAACATATTGTCGTTTTCTCATCCGCAACCATTGTCACCTCGGGTAACGCAAGTAAGTAAACTCTTCTTTTTTTTTCATTTGTCCTTGGAGGTATTTCTTTTTTTTATCTTATTTCCACCATATCAAGATCGTCTCGATAAATTGCATTGTCGTTTGTGACGTAGGGCAATTACGGCACCACTCCGAGGCTATTTAACGTTAACCAGGTGAGATCTCAACAACAACCAACCGCGCAACAACAACTACAACAACAGCAGAGGTCAATGCCTTCGCCTGGAACTCCAGCCTCCGCAAGGCAATCCCCATTTCCTGCCGAAACATTTCCCCCACCTACATCTCCTACCGCCAGCCAATTTCCACCTGGTCCAAATCCTGGTGCTCCTAATCCTACTGCTCAGTATCGCTTGCAACGGACCACATCGACGCCTTCTGCGACGACTCAGTTGCCAGGTAAGAATTTACGTCCTTCTAATAATTTGCTCATTTTTTTATCATCCGTTTTTTATTATCGTTACATTTGTTAAACATTGTTATATATACACCAAATGTTATATATCCACATCGATAAGACTTTCGTTTCCCCTGATGTGTCTGTCAAGGACACATCTGACGATAAAATATATGTAGGTTGACGAATGAGGATGTGCGGCCGTTAAGATATTTTATTAGACGGTATATATTTCATGTTGACGTATCTGTAATAAAGTTATATTAGTAATGTCAGTGTAACGTGAGTATTGGTCCTTTGTACGAAACTTCTTTTTTTTTTTTATTTTTATTCTTTTCTCTATCTTTTTTTTTTCTTTTTCTCCCCTATTTTTTTCTCAATCTCTCTCGTTCTATCTTCTTGGAATTTTTTACGTTGAAAGTGCAACGAGTGCGTTCCTAAGAGTGATGTAATTTTCTTCGTACTAAGACGAAGTGTATCTATGGTCTCAATTTACGAAGATGTGTTCGTGATGAATCAAATGATATGTACTGTGTCAAAAGTATCGTCGTTGTAAGAGCTTCGTTGTGAGTAATTGATGCATTCCATTTTATATCTTCTTGCTTGGAAATTCATGAAATGTAGATTGTAGTTTAAGAGACGTATACTTTTTTTTTCACCTACTACCCAGTGAATTATACTACATTGAAGATGATAGTTACATCTTCATTGATTCTGTATGATTTGATTATACAGACTGATATGCCATTTGTACAAAGTAACGATATTATATAAACGCTAATATATATTCGGAATCAAATATGTGAACGGAGTACTATAGTAGATCGTTCTGTAAGGGGTAAGTATATCACTGTTCCAAATAATACTTTTAATAATTACTGAATTAGCACCTACACACACACACTCACACACATACTCACACACACACACACAAATCTACATGTTTAATCATAATTCTATCAAACATACAATTTTATAAAAATGCGATTTAAAGACTTAAAGTCATTAAAGTAATATAAATTAAACTTTCTGGAAGATAGAAAAGAATTATAAGTATATCGAAAAATTAAATAAGCCATATTAACTGTGTATCCCAATTTAGTATCCCGATTAAAGTTAAATTCGTCACGTTAAAGTAAAAGGCAAGAAGATAGACATAATTAATGTTGCAGGTGGGGTTGGTTCGCCCCGACACTATGGCGGAGTGAATAAGGAACAACCTCTTCTTTCACCTAGTCATCCACATTCGGGTTGCCCTGCAACACCGACTCACAATCAACACAATGCCACCAATACCCAACACTTCTCGAATCAACAACATTCTTCTATGATATACCACACGACCGCCAATACTATCAACACACCAGATATGCAGAACAATCAGTTCTGTTACGATCGGACGTCCGTACCACTCTATTCTTCTGGGGATACGCAGGATGTCAGGTCACTGCCTCCCGGTAATCCTGTCAATCACCACATGGGTGGTAAGTCATATGACCTCTTAATGTCATGTGACCATCACTTCGCCATCATTACACTCCTTACCCAAAAATATTGTACCACTGGGAGGTACCAGGCATGACATTGGTACATGGAAGCACATCATTCTTTCACGACACCCATCCAGACATTCAAATGTACATATCGCAATCGTTTTGAGATAATCGCTATAATCACGAGTCAATGTAATTTTGTCTTAACGTGAATATTCGAATCTTGTTTCAATTGTCAGGATATATTTATTGCGGCCAAACAACTGTCTTCGACAACAACAAAATTTATGTTAATATAATTCGTGGTTGAGAAGGATCGCTTGATGGTTATTATATCATAGTATTGTAACGCTATGTTTCGTACATTCGGTTACTTTTATCACGAATAATGAATATATCAACAAAAATACGCTTTTTTCATCTTGTACTTGAAAACAATATTTCTCTAATATCCACTATATATATGTTTTTTCCTTTTTTCTTTTCTTTTTTTTTTTTTTTTTTTTTTTTCCTTCGTAAAAGCGATCCTACGTTTTACAATAATCATTGTTTCAAATTCTTTATATTCTACTGGAGTTGAAATCATATTTGCTTTATAATATCTTTTTATGTACGAAACAAAGCATTATTGGCCGCTAAAAATCGTAGAACAAGATTTGCTTTCGCATTCATACTCGTTCCAACGTTTCTACGCTTATCATTCATTTATTTGGCTATTTCATGAAACATATTCTAACTACGTTGTAAATAATATATCATCATTTTCAATAGTAATTCCAACGGATAACACTCTTGCGAATATGTAACCCCCAAAGGCTCTAGGTCATTTGGAATGATAATTAAAAGATACTCCTATCACTTTGTATTAAGAAGCATTCTCTCTCTCTTTCTCTCCTCCCCTTTCTCTCTCTCTCTCTCTCTCTCTCTCTCTCTCTCTCTCTCTCTCTCTTTCTCTTTCCTCCTCTTTCTCCCCCTTCCGCTCCGCTCCCCTCTCCATCTCCCCCTCTCTTCCCGTCTTTCTCTCTCTTATAGCGCATGATGCACCGCTATGAAATTTTGAAAAAATATTACGTATTCGAACACGTCGACATTCCAAAATTTAATCTTAGGTATTGAGAGATGATTATTGCCTGTACAATGCATTTTTATGTCACGAGATATATACCAGGTCTTTTCTTATATCCCATTGGTAGTAGATACCGTAGTAATTACACTGTGCTTTAGTAAATACCTCAGCACCAATTATCTTCGGTACACCTTCGCATCGTATTCACTTGCACTACTTTCGAATGTTAGTTTTTACCATTTCGATGAAAGATGCGGAGATTTCTTATTTAACTAGTCAATTCTTTAACTGTAGACAAGAAGAAGGGTTATACGAAAGCCTAACGTTTGGTATGCTTCTAATATATCAAGAAACTAATAGCGTTTCGTCTCATTAATTTCCATCCTGCATCGTGGATCTATATTCATAACTCTTTAATAAATTATTCTTGCGGAGATTACCTTTTTTACATACTTCGTTTTAATCAAACGAAAGAGATATGGATATAGACCATTTACTCATCGTGTGCTCGTGATTTAACGCATCGTGACGATAGTTGGGCCGATGTACATATTCTTTCTATAAATAACATACTACTTATATATATATATATATATATATATATATATTTATTTTTTTGTTTTTTTGTTTTTAATTAATATTTATTATATTGAAAGTGTTTTTTTTTGGGTGTAGAATTATATCGGCACAGCTCTGTGTATATGAAAACGTGTTATTAATGGAAACAACAATGCAAGAGGTTCATCCGAAAGATGTACATCATCTAAATCATCCTTTCATTACTCTCCTGTGTTCACCTATGTACAGTAACGCTTTGATGTAAACCAGTAATCTTAAGTATCACTTACTTATAAGCACGGTGGAAAAGATTTACTAACGACGAGGTTCATTCTTATTAAGTAGATATATATATATATATATATATATATATATATATATATATATATATATATATATAGAGAATATGAACGTTTCAAAAATAATCAAATTTAATATTCTTTTTGATGCTCTAAATACTTACTAATATAATTCGTGTTAGAAATTGAATCTTATTGAACTCTGAATTTTTGTTTTTGGGCTCTCGATTTAAGAAATTAGTTTTAAACAGTTGTGACAGTTGTTCAACACATGTTTCAACAAAAAAAAAAAAAAAAAAAAAAAAAAAAAAATTGAAATCAAACTGAAAGAATAGAAGAAATTTTATGGAAAAAGGAAAAAAAGAAAGTAGGATCAATGTCATGGATGTTAACAAAATGTAAATATCCCGTTGTGTAATAAAAAAGAAACAATACCCTGTCCCTCGATCGATTTACAGGAGAATTTTTTTATATTTACGATATAGCCATTGTAAGACAATCTCTGCACGATCCTTTACATTATATTTCATTATTTTGAAGAAAGGTATGAGGGTAATTAAGATACAACGTAATTGACATGCACAAATTAATAATATTCTTTCTATTCCATGTTTTGTTTTTCCCCCTTTTAATAGAACCCGATCGTTCTAATGGTAAAATGAACGAAAAAGAGAGAAATTGTCTTTCTTATTTGACGTTAATCAATGTAAAAGTGATGAAACTGATTGATTTTGTCGTAGGTAACGCAAGTACTACCGGAAGTATGACGTCAGAATTCGTTCGGCAAGAATTAAGAGCTATAGTTGGAGCGAGGACGCAACAACAGCAACAACAACAAAGGGTACCCAACAGTATACCCAACAATCTTTCTGGTCAAGTTTCTCAGGACGATTTGGAAGCACTTGGTTTGACATTCGAAATGTCCACCGCAGGTATAAACGTTAATAATAAATTTTCTTATTGTGATTTTATTATATGTCGATTTGATTTGATTTCATATTCGTAGGATGGTACGATCTCAATAGGTTTCAGAAAAACTTCTTCGGAAGACACGTCGTTTCATTTTCTTATGGTTTTTCTTTTCTTTTTCTTTTTTCTTTTTATTTTTTTATTTTTTAATTTTTTATTCTCATTAGGAACTTTGTGATCGTTGATACTGCGACGATCTTTTTGTTTCTCAAAATTATGGCTTAGGGTGGAAGTGATTTTGTAAATGTTGCGTGTTAGGAATAATAAACAAATCAAATAAATTCATGATGGCTTGTAAGAAGATTAATTGATTCTGTGTGTTCAATTTTTTAAGCAAAAAATAGTAATGCAAATATACACATATATTTTTATTAGTATAATTAATACGACTGACATTTTTTACCTTATGACAAATTTATTGTTCATTTTAAGTACTGTGAAAAAGTATTACAGGCAGTTGTAAGCATAAAGAACAGAATCTTATTTTATATTCAGGAAAGGTATAAAGAATGCTTTGATCGAAATTTGAAGAAATAGGAATCTCAAGAAACGTTAATCTATTTTTTTTCTTTTTTTTTTTTTTTTTTACATCAAACGTCATTTTATGCATGCAAATAGTTAGCAAGTTATTAAATAAATTCACTATCAGTGCTTTTATGGTATCGTACGGATTACGATTATACATATATATAAAAAATGCACACACACACACACACACACACACACACACATATATATATATGTATATATATATATATATATATGTATAAATTGATATTGACGTTAATGATATTGATATGGACATTGACAGCATTAGACTAAACATTATCTCAAAATTTAATATATTTATTTCAAACCAACATACATGTAGACACAAGTAACACACTCGTTAGATTTCCTTGTTAAATATTTTGGTCATCGAATCAGATTTATGAACGCGTCATATATATATATATAAAAAAAAAAAAATTAAAAAAGGACAAAAAATATTCTTGTGAGATAGATTTTTTCTTAGAAAGGCATAATATTGCAATTGAAGTAACTCTGGTAACGCGTGCTGTTACAATGTCCCAACTAGGTGAGACTGTGGTTAATGATGGCCCTGCCAAGAGCTGGGCCATTGGGAGTACCGGAAGTGCCCCCTCATCCTCCAGGGTAAGACCCTTCCGACAATTACTCTTACGTACTTTGATTCTTATTTATGCTATGTCTACCCTCTTTATGCTTTGCTTCAAACTGTATTCGCTGCACGATATATTATTCATTAACGATTTCTAATTTTTCGCACTAAGCGTTATTACGTACTAGAGAAAAGGTAGATCTCTTTTCAATCTCTCTCTCTCTTTCTCTCTCTTTTTTCTCTCTCTCTTTCTCTCTCTTTCTCTCTCTTTCTCTCTCTTTCTCTCTCTCTCTCTCTCTCTCTCTCTCTCTCTCTCTCTCTCTCTCTTTCTCTTTCTCTTTCTCTTTCTCTTTCTCTTTCTCTTTTTCTACTCTACTCTTTGTATCTTTTACTATCGCATGTTATTCTATTCTTCTTTAATTTATCGCTATACTAGTTTCATTTCGTTGTAATTTAAAATTTGTTTCAATTAATATATCCATTGAGTTTAATACTTAATGTTAATTATGAAATTATATGTAAATCTATTTTTGCATTCCTTTGTAATTTTATTACGATTAAATGATGGTTTTCTAATTGAAAAAGGAGAGAGAAAGAAAGGAAATGTGAGAAAGAAAGAGAAAGAAGATTAATGGTCGATTGTATGACTCTCTCACTGTCTTTCTCTTTTTTTCTTTTCGTAAGGTCGAATATCTTCTTATCTATTGGCGTTATGCGAATGTGCTGTGTGACGTTTACACAAGGATCGAGTTTATGTTTCGTTCATCACAAAGTGATGATTTTGTAAGCTTTACCGCAATTAGAGTAATTACACTGCCAATATATCGTATCGTAATGCTTTTTCACAGGAAACTTATTTAAATGATTTATAAATAAATCTAAAATTTGTCTATGGAGTAGGCGTTCTCATTGCATGATGACGTGTCACACAATAGTAGATTTGCATTAGTACAGCGAGACGATATAAAACTATATTTAATATCTACAAAAATCGTTCACAATAGGTCGAAATAATTCCTGCTTCGCGTAGTGAAGTCGTTGCTTTTAATAAATGCATAGAAAATTCCTCTTGTTTAAATATTTATTTTGTTCTTTCTTCTCATTAATTCGTAGAGGCTTATAGGAGAGTTTTAAACAATTAGCTAATTATTAGATTTTAATTTTGTGTCATTTGATAGTAGCAACTTCGTTGTTCTTGGCTATCTTTCTCTCTTTCTCTTTCTCTGTTGGAACAAAGAACGCAGATCGAAAAAAAAACGTGTTCATTCTTATTATTACTGAACATAATCCTTTTTTTTTATTTTTTATTTTTTTATTTTAGACTACTATGGAGGAAGCGGTCCGAGGTGATCCCAAATCATCGTTGCTACAGAAGCTGCTGTCCGAGTGACTGCGGGTTACACTGTTGGACGGTAAAGGATTATGTGTGATATACGTTTGAAAAGGCAAGAAAAATAAATAAATAAAAAGGAAGAGGAGAATAAAAAAATTGAAGCCTGAAAAGAAAGGCTGCTGTCAAAGATGCATTATATGCGCTATACGTAATGGGTACTATTGTATTATATGTAAACGTTAACATACGAAGTCAGTATTCAGATACGTATCACCAAATACAATGCAAAGCTCTAGTGCGCGGCGCTCTCTAGAACCTTTTCGTTCATCGTGATAATCCGTGACGGAAAAGGAGCTTTTTTTCTTGCAAAAACAGCATCTGTCGTTTTATCCGAACTCGAAGGACCAAAAGTTTTCGTTTCTATGTTTGGCTGTGTCGAGACTTTCGTTGATATTGATGTGAGTGAGTGCGTACGTGTTACGGCTGTCATTGCTTGGACCATTTATTTAACACGATATTGTGTTGTATTTTATTTTACACACAAAAAATATATTTAAATGGGCAAATCAAGAAAGAGAGAAAAAAGATGATGAGGCTGTATGATGGACATAGGAATTAACGAGGAGCGTTAATTAGATTTAATTTACTCTATCTGTTGTAACGAAAGGAAAGGAATTACGATAGAATTGCACGTCGCCATGCTACAATAATTCATTATTATATATATATATATATATATATATATATATATATATATATATATTTATAAATATATATATATTTCATTATATATATTATATATATATATATATATATAAAATATATATATATATATATATATATATATATATATATATATATATAAACACGTTATACACAATACAGAGACAGAGATACATACACAAAACACACGTTCACATATAGATAACCTTTCTCGGGGCGTCCCAGCTTCTTCGAGCGATATTAGATGTATAAAATGTATAATATCGGCGGTGAATTCACGTTTAACTCCCCGAATCAATGGCGCACGTGTTCTTCGTCGATATTTTATTTGATATCGCTGAAAGAAAAGAAAACTACGTAGGTACCTCAAAGGTATACTTTACTATACCACTGGCTGTTGAACATAAAACTATTTATAGGTTTAATTATTGTACACAGAAGAATAGAGCACTATCATGTATTCTCTTAATTTAACATCTTTTTGACTATTACATTATGAATAATATATTTGTGATTGTAAGAATCTGCAACCAAAATGTGACAAAGAATACTTGTTGTTGTTAATATGATTATAACTATTATTATTTTATTTTATTTTATTAATATTATTGACATCATCATTATCACTATTACCAATATTATTGTTGCAATTACTATATTATTATAAGATTAAGGTTTATTATTATTATTATTATATTATTATTATTATTATTATTATTATTATTATTATTATTATTATTATTATTATTATTATTATTATTATTATTATTATTATTTTTATTATTATTATTATTTTTATTATTATTATTATTATTATTATTATTATTATTATTATTATTATTATTATTATTATTATTATTATTATTATTATTATTATTATTATAATTATTATTATTATTATTAATATTATTTTATTAATATTGATATTATTGAACACTTGGCGTATGCGTATTTCTATTTGATAGTAAGAGTACCTTTATATCAATATAAATATATTGTATGAATGTATATGTATATATATGTATATTAATTTATATACGTGTTATATATAAGTAATTGCTCGATAGATTATTTATATATAATTACTATATAAACTTACGTATATTTATATATGTATACGTGTGAAGAAATGAAATCAATCTTCTATTTTGCATAGCTCGGTAATTCTCTTTTGGATCTTAGATGCACACTGAATTACTTCTAAATGACATCTGTTGTTATATAAATGAGAAAACTTCTAATTACAATACTATATGTGTACACACACGTGAAGTGTGTATATACATATACATACATATGAAAGAAATCTCACGCAAGTGTCTTATTTTTTCAGGAAGTTCACCATTTACTAGATTTGGAAGAAATTGCGACGAAGCGTATATATTGTGAAATATGCATCGGTATGATAGATATTAAAGATTAGAAATTATGTTTGGTAGAAATATATATCGAAAACAAAAATTGAAATGTTTCGATTGCTTTTGAAGTATGATATAATTTAATGAAATATGTTGAAAAAAGAGAGCATGCATGGCATGCCTTCTAAATATTATGTTTTATCGTTTATATTTTCGATAATCGTAGAAACTTTGAGATATATTTAAAGTTGTTGTATTTTTTTTCTTTTTTTTTTTTTTTATATTACGAAAAGTTGTTTATAACTTTCAATTTTTTATGCTGTGGTATTTTCATGAATTATTATAATATCGTCTAATGTTTCTTAAGATTACGAAAAAAATCTCGGTTAATTTGTATTGTTACGGTTCGTGTTATTTTTATGAAAGAAAGAAGTAATGTCGTATATACTGCTAAAAAATGGCAAAAACGAATTTAGAAAAGCTACGAATTGCTTCGGAACTTAAGGCGTTATGTGCAAATGTTTAAAGTGATTTAAAAATACGCGAGCTCAAAATGAAAAATATATACGATTGTTGATTCTATTTTTTTTCTTTTCTCTTTTATATATATATATATATATATATATATATATATATATATGTATATTATATATATATAAATATATTGTATGTATATCATCTCTCGTATACACGATCTTAGACATTTCAAGCTTGTTTTGCTTTTAATATGAATGTAATTAAAAATTTTTCATCGGCGTTATATGAATAATGTATTAATCAAACAAATTGCGCTTAGAATAATTTTATTCGAGCTATACGATGAACATTCAGCGTCGTTCTCCGTTGCATTTTCTTCCAATCGAAACAGTTACAAAGTTATAATCTCTGTAAAACACATTCGTGAGGTACTCTGAATATGTACACGTACATACATAGAAAAAGAAAAAAGAGTGGGAGAAAAAAACGAGATCGAGCGAGCGAGTGAGAGAAAGAGAGAGAGAGAGAGAGTGTGTGTGTGTGTGAGAGAAAGAGAGAAAGAGAGAAAGAGAGAGAGAGAGAAAGAGAGAGCGAACGAGCGAGAAAGAGACATATACTCATCTTTACACACATGTACGTATACGTACGTATAAATTTATATAAATACGTACATATAAATACGTACGTACGTACATGAGTGTGTATAGCCGCGCGTGTGTCTCCTCTTACGTGTGTTTGCAGATGAGAGATGAGTGTATGGGCGCGTCCGGTGCGCGTGAGTGCGTAAAATTCGCGCGCTCGTACGCGCATGTATGTAGCGAATTACGTCATATAGATAGATCATATGTGCTTTCTAATGATGAATAATTTTATAAATATAAATATAATACCGATTTTATCGTTTATCATTTATTTCGGGATCGAATCTTCTATTAAGTTTATCGACAAGTTTTGTCCTTTCGTTTTTGATAATTTTTCTTTCGTTAAGAAACATTCATTTTTAATAATAATAATAATAAAAAAAAAAAAAAGATTTTTAATTACGCAGGCGACAGATCTTTTCGATAAACTTAATATTTATGCTTCCACATTCGGACAAAAGGAATTTCTATACGTCGAAATGATAATACTAGTTAACGTAGACCACGTGATATCATTTTCATCGTTTAAAAGCGAATTTGTTGTTTTTTTTCTTTCTTAATATTTTTTTTTTATTGGAGAAAATTTTGTTAAATGTCTTTTACAGAATGAAATCTATATGAAGAATGATGGATATGTATCGTTATTTGGAGGAATCAAAAGAATGCAAAAAAATAGCTTATAGAAAATATTTTTATTTTATGCGATACACGTGAAAAGCTCTATAATAACGAATGTAATAATATAGATGAACGTTAATTTAATTAATTTATTATATTCTTGAATATCGCGATATAAAATTGATATTCATTCTGTCAGTTTTCGAAGGAACGTACGCCGTTCTTTTTATTTGGCATAATGTTTCGCATCTGGTTATCGTGCGATTGGCAAAAGACACACGAGTAACCTCGTGTAATTTCGCAATAGCCGTAAAAGAATAGAGTTCATATACATATGTATTTATTTATATGTACACATAGAGGGGTGGGGTTCATAGAACGAGTCCTACGTATCACTTTTTTATTCGTAATTTGGAAACTCGTCTAGAGGTTCGGTACCTCGGTTCGTTCGACTTTACGAAGGCGACCTCTTTTTCGATAGTGATATGGTACATGTCTATTTGGATTTTTACTTCTACCAAGTGGTACTCTCTGCCGTGAATAATCCGAAGGGTAACGTGACTGTGGATAATTTTTCGGCCTAAGGTGTATGTTACCTACTTCTGGTCTGACAAACCGATCTTCGGTAATACGACGTCGAAGACAGACGGCACAACGACTGACTCTCGACGTATGATCGGTTTTTAGTGTTTGCTGCAAAGGCTTTCGGAACATTTCGTAGTCTTTAATAGTCGCCAACCAATAGGAAGTCGCCGTGGAGAAGTAATTGCAGGTACCTAAGCCGCGGCACTCGATAAATGGTCTAGCACGAAATTCTTCTAAACATGATCCTGGCGAGATCAATGACTGACCACCACCGTCTGCTCCAGCGTCCCTGTGCTGTAACATTAACGTTGTTGTTCGATCGATAACGTACAAGTTTTCATTGATTTTTTGTTGATTGATTTTATCGTTATGGCATTACCATAAGAAAACTGTATCCAATCCATAATTCTTCCCAACCACCAGGGCACTCTGGTATATCCATAGATTGACTATGTACAGCAATAATCCTCGTTGGAGCCTCGCAAACTGAACATCTCGATATGTATCTACCGACCTCTGGAGCTGGTATAGGTGTCATCATCATTGGCATGGGTTCGGTTGTACTGAGCCAATAACTATAATCGTTACGATTGGCATAATCGCAAACATTGTTCATGTTACAGAACATGAAAGGCATCGTTGAAAACTTTCTAATACAACTTCCTGCAGTACCTATAATTATAATACATCGAAAATGTGTAGATAAAAGTGTCGTTCCTTTCATTCCAATTTTATTCTAATTTGTTATT